TACTCCCCCAGCTGCTGCTCGTCATCCCAGAGGCTGCCCCTGGAAACTCAGCCAGAACTGAGTCGACGTTCACTCTCTCCCAGTCAGCCACCTGCTCCTTGAGATCGAGCCACCTTCTGCGTCAGCTGGACCTCGTAGGCTCGGGTCTGGCCCCTGTCGTTCCTCACCAGGATGCTCAGAGGCTTGTCGCAGCTCTGCACCACCAGCACGACCTCGCTGCCGGAGCGCAGGCCCTGGTGGGCCAGGGGAACCCCGTCCTGCAGCACTGCATGGCTCCCCTGGACCAGCAGGCGCTGCTGGAAGGCAGGCACTTGGGTCTTCTGGGTGATCAGCTGCTTCAGTTCCGACAACAGCATGGAGTCCCTCATGGGCACTTGGAACTCCTTGGCCAGCGTCTTCACCTTCAGGTACCCGCCCTGTGGGCATCACACAGAGCTCAGAGCCCCTGGCACCACTACACGCATGACCTTGGTCGCAGGGCAAGCTCCTAGGGCCCTGGACCCTGCTCCCCCCTCTGTGCCCTCTCCATCCACCAGGAGAGACCTCCAGTGCAGGAGACAGAAGCACAAGGGGAGGAATGGCCAGCCTCCCATGACCACCTACTTGGTCTCCCTTCACTAGCTAAGATGTCCCCCAAAGGACCTCAGAAGCAGCCACTGGGCAGAACCCACCTTCCAAGACCCAGACCCTGGTGTCAGAAGGAGCCCTGGTGTCAAACTTAGGAACCTGGGAGCTCGGAGCAGCTCCGCTTGCCTGGCACACAGGGAGGGAGAGGGTAATGGACTGGTGCCCAGCCCACCTGTCCAGCCCGTCACCCGCCTCACCATGGCTGTGGGCTCTGATGCCAGGTCCTCCACAGGTCCTGAGACGACGATGACGACGACGACGATGATGAGTGCACTGTCTCGGCTCCAGCTCCCTCTCCCGCAGGCCCCGGCGGCTCACCCCTTTTCTGAGCCTGAGCCTCACACGTCAGGGGCGTGTCCGTGTCGAGCAGCCTCCGCGGCACCGATTCAGCTTCAGTTTCAGTTTCCGTTTCCCAAAGGCTCGCCTGGGAGCCAGCGGCAGGAACAAAGGGAAGGAGAACAGTAAGGAATCCTTGGAGGGACTTGCCACCCACCTGCGAGGCCCAGGGTCGGCACCAGGCCTCCTCCCCAGGAGTGTGCATTCCAACCCCCCAGACGGCCTGCACGTCAACAAAAGCCATAATAACATGCAGTAAGGATGGGAAAGTTTCACTTTCCATTTACCAACTTGCGAAAGTAACACACTTAGAAAATCTTGTCGCGGTTAATTCAGAAATAACATGAAATAGTGACAACCCAAACTACCCAGGGATGGTCACCAATATTTGTTCAGATTTTTTTTTTTAATGAAAGAGATGTATCTTTTTTTTTTAAATATATTTTATTGATTTTTCACAGAGAGGAAGGGAGAGAGACAGAGAGCTAGAAACATCAATGAGAGAGAAACATCGATCAGCTGCCTCCTGCACATCTCCCACTGGGGATGTGCCCGCAACCCAGGTACATGCCCTTGACCGGAATCGAACCTGGGACCTTTCAGTCCGCAGGCCGACACTCTATCCACTGAGCCAAACCAGTTTCGGCAAGAGATGTATCTTTTACTTTCTACAAAAATGAACTCGTGGACATTATTGAGAAAGTGAAAAGACTACCCACAAAAATGGGGAGAAAATATTTACAAATCATATGTCAGATAAGGGTCTAGTACAGCCAGCCGTGGGCAAACTACGGCCCGCAGGCCGGATCCAGCCCGTTTGAAATGAATAAAACTAAAAAAAAAAAAAAGACCGTACCCTTTTATGTAATGATGTTTACTTTGAATTTATATTAGTTCACACAAACACTCCATCCATGCTTTTGTTCCGGCCCTCCCGTCCAGTTTAAGAACCCATTGTGGCCCTCGAGTCAAAAAGTTTGCCCACCCCTGGTCTAGTATCCATAATATAAAAAGAAATGTTACAACTCAACAACAAAAATATTACTCAATTAAAAATTGGTCAGAGGACTTGAACAGGCATTTCTCCATAGAAAATATATAAATGGGCACAGCCTCATGAAAACATGCTCAATATCATTGGGCACTAGGGAAATGCTAGTTAAAGCCACAACGAGATATGTCACACCCACTAGCATGACTATAAATAATAATAATCTATAATAATAAAAGCATAACATGCTAATTAGACCAGACTACCTTCCAGGCGAAGCCAGGGCTGCAAGGGAAGCCTGGGTCCCAGGTGCCAGAGGGAAGCCGGTGCCGGCAGCCGGGGGAAGGAAGGCCTATTCTTGCACGAATTTCGTGCACCGGGCTACTAGTAATTAATAATAGAACAAGTGTTAACGAGGATGTAGAGAAACTGGGACTTTCATACGTTGCTGATGAGAATGTGAAATGGCGCAGCTGCTATGGAAAACAGACATTCCTCAGAAAGTTAAACAGCCCTGGCTGGTGTCTCAGTTGGTCAGAGCGGCATCGTGTGCACCGAAGGGGCTGGTTCAACTCCCAGATGGGGCACATACCCAGGTTTTGGGCTCGATCCTGGGTCAGGGTGAGTACTGGAGGCAACCAATCCATGTTCCTTTCTCTCTCTCGCTCTCCCCCTTTTGCTCTCCATTTCTCTCTTTTGAATCAAAGAAAAATATACCCTCTGGTGAGGGTTAACAACAACAAAAAGTCAAAGAGTGGCAAAAACAAAATGTTTTGAATATGAATCTTTAAATATGTTTTTTATTAATTTTTAGAGAGAGAGGAAGGGAGAGGGATAGATAAACAGAAACATATGATGAGAGAGGAACATCATTGATCGGCTGCCTCTCACACACCCCCCTACTGGGGATCAAGCTTGCAACCTGACCAAAATCAACTAGCAGTGATGGCGAACCTTTTGAGCTCGGCGTGTCAGCATTTTGAAAAACCCTAACTTAACTCTGGTGCCGTGTCACATATAGAAATTTTTTGATATTTGCAACCATAGTAAAACAAAGACTTGATATTTATTTTATATATTTAAATGCCATTTAACAAAGAAAAATCAACCAAAAAAATGAGTTCGCGTGTCACCTCTGACACGCGTGTCATAGGTTCGCCATCACTGAACTAGTGACTTGGTTCCTGAGTCGACGGTCAACCACTGAGCCACACCGTCTGGGCTGAATATAAACCTTGACCATTCCTCCCCTCCATCCCCCAAAACTCTGATAAGGCACCAAAATTGTTAACACACACAAAAATGATTTTTAAAAACTTTTTAAAAATTATTTTAAGTCATATCTTGCCCCATTCCTTGCATAAATAATATTGGATATATATACACCACAAAGAGGAAAAACAAAAACAAACAAAAAAGAAAACCACAAACATTTTTTCAAACAATAAAAGGAATACACAGAAAGTTAAAACGCCCCTGCCTCCCCCATGACCATTCTTAAACATGCTTTATATGTCTGCTGATTTCTTTCTCTTTTTTTCTTTATTGATTAAGGTATTACATATGTGTCCTTATCGCCCCATTGCCCCCCACCCCACCCCCACTCATGCCCTGCTGATTTCTTGATACGTGACATACGGGTATTTTTAGCTCCTTTGCCCCCTGTGACCAAATGTCTTCTGCTGTCAACAGGAGGACCTGAAAACCACAGAGGCAAACTGACAGAAGCGGTGGAGTACATGTTTCAAACAACCACAAACCCGTGGCTTAAAACAACAGAAAGGTATGCCCTCACAGCGCTGCAGACCAGGGTCTGAAATCAGGGGGACTGAATGACCATGATTAAAAAGAGTCTGATTTTATGTGGTTTACAGAAGACAAGAATCATCTGAAATATAAAGATACAGGAAATTTAAAAGGGGATGGAAAGAGACACGTCATACAAATATTAACTAAAAGGACATGGAAGTGGCACAGCCGGCAGGGCTCAGTGGCTGAGTGTCAACCTATGTACCAGGAGGTCACCATTCGAGTCGGTCAGGGCACATGGCTGGGTTGCAAACTCGATCCCCAGTGTGGGATGTGCAGGAGGCAGCCAATCAATGATTCTCTCTCATCATTGATGTTTCTCTCTCTCTCTCTCCCTCTCCCTTCCTCTCTGCAATCAGTAAAAGTACATTTAAAAAAATATTAGGTTGCACCTAACAACATGGACACAAAATAGTTAAGTTCTGGTCCCAAACCTTAATATTCTATTTATGAAATCACAACAGCCTCATAAAGGGGCCTTTGGTTAATATTGGGGCTTATTTATAAACGAACTTAAACTTCCTTAAACCTTTAAAACAGCATATGTAACTTAATGTTCTTGACTACAGGCCCGGTGCATGAATTCGTGGGGGGGGGGGGGGGGCGGAGTCCCTCGGCCTGGGTCAGGCTGGGGGGTGGGGACCGTGGGAGGTCGGTGGGCCTCGGCAGGTTGGCTGTGGGAGCGCACTGACCAGCAGGGGGCAGCTCCTGCATTGAGCGTCTGCCTCCTGGTGGTCAGTGCACCTCATAGCGACTGGTTGACCGGTCATTCAGTTGCTTAGGCTTTTATATATATGGATTGTATTTTGAAGCCCTTCACATATATAACAGCAGCAGTGACCAAACACCTTCCAAGTACCTCTCAGTCCTCGCCACTCACCCCTGCACACTTGGCCCAGGGCACCATCTCCTCTCAGCTGGGCTACGGCAGGTACAGCCTAGTGGTCCTGCTTCTGTCCCTCTCCCCATGGTCCCCAGAGGGATAAGCTGGCCACACTCGGGGACAGTGGCCATTCTGGCTCCTTCTTGTCTCCTTTCCTCTGGCACTTGGCTCGCTCTTGCCCCAGTTCCCGGCACTGCCTGTCCCTCTTTCCGGAATGTCCCCTGCACCTCCCCCCACCCCCCAAGATATAGGTGACTCACTTCCTGCACCTCCTTCAGTCACAGGCCTGAGGAGACTCTGGGTGGGAGGCATCCCTCCCTCTCTGGAAAGGGGTCCAGGCAGCACCTCCCTGCCTCAGTCCCCCCCCCTCCCCCCCCCACCCCCGTCCCGTTCTCTTGCCTGCCTCCTGGGCAGTAACAGCTGTCGCTGACATGTGTCCAGTTCTATGTTCTGGGTGTTTCCGAAGTAGGATCTCAGTCATCTTCCCAATGACCCCGGGAAAGAGAAAGATAAGCTATCGCACAGGCCAGGGAACAGGGACAGGGGCGAGCCCAGCTGACAACTCTAAGGGAACAAAAGGCCATTACAGGGCTCCCAGGCCAGTCTTTCCCATCTGAACTGTCTGCCTATCTGGTCTCTGTGGGCCGCTGGGATGGTCCAGAACCCCCCAGACTGGTCCCAGCGCCCCCCCTCCAGGAAGTGCGGGTCCCCAGCTTCTCCCCAAGAGCCTGGAAGGAGGAGAAGGTCCAGGTGGCCCCTGGGGCGCGGAGTGGGGGCTGCAGGTCTGGGAGACCTCCTGGCCGGCAGGATGAGTCCGAGCAGGCACTGGACCCATCAGCGCTCCCAGGAGGTTCTGGGTGGATCTGTCTGTCACCCGTCTTCCCAGCACCCCCTGCCCAGCTCCACTGGCTCCTCTGGGGCAGGAGAAGGAAGGGGTGGGGCGGCCTCACCTTCATGAGCGGCAGCTGGGCCTGAGGCCAATCTGGAGGCCCGCACCCCCTACCCCCGTGTAGGCACGTGTGTGTGTGGCAAGGAGGATCTGAGCGCCCCCCGCCACACCTGGTGCCCCAGACTGACCTCCGAGGGGCCGGCTTAGCGCCAGGATACCAGAGGCTTCCCGGAGGCGAGCGGGGCTTGGCTTTGCTATGCACTAGGGCCTGACTGGGATCCCGGGCGGGTGCTGGGGCAGGGCCGCCCTGGACGCCACCACTAGGCAGGCTCCCAGCAGGCGAGGTGACCCTGGGGCGCAGCCAGTCGGCTCTCTCTCTGGATCAGAAAAGCCCCTCGAGGCTCCCCCTCCCCCCTCTGGGGCCGGAAGCCCCCTCGGCCCCTTCCC